TATTTATTTATTTGTACGTTTAAAATATCGGTCTGAAATTAGTGCTGAAGTATAATAAATAATTAAATACATCTTATTACTTCATATTATTCATATCTTAATAAAATTATGAATAATATTTTAATCCTAAATATTAGTATATTTATTCAAGACTAAGATACTACATATCAAGACTAAAATATGAGGGCTATTTTTTTTTCAAGGTCCGACTTGTCGCTAAAGGAAAACTTCGGGAAAAATCCACTAGGTCTGTGCGGAGACGTTTTGCACAGTGTCTCTAGTTGGCCCAGGGAATGTGCCAATTCGCAATTGTCATTTCTGAGTATGTAGGGAGCACATAAACATGCTTCGAAAAATAGTCTCCCACCAAATGTGAATTGCGCTCAGTCATTTGATTTCTGCATGCTGAAGGAAGCAATGTAGCTGAAATTCATAGATGAATGAGTAAAATGTATGAAGAAAAGTTCATGAGTGACAGCAAAGTGCAGAAATGGTTCAGGATGAAGCTGGAAGCACAGATGCTCATGATGCAAGCGGCCAGGGAAGGAAATCGTTGGTTCACAATTTCTGGGTTTAATGATTTGTTTCCTGAAATTTCACAGTCAGCTCTCTATAGCATTATGAGTGAAAGACTCGAGTACCGCAAACTCTGCACGAGATGGGCTCGCAAGATGCTGTCTGACCATCACAAAACTCAGCGAATGGGTGCTGCATATCCCTTTCTCCAGCGTTACCATCAGGACGGAGATGAGTTTTTGGACAAAACAGTCACAGGAGACGAGACATGGGTGCATTATGCAACTGAAGAAAAAAAAAGAGCGATTGAAACAGTGGATGCATTCACACTCCCCAAGTCGTAAGCCAGTAAAGTTCAAGCGCATGTTCTCCACCAGAAAGCATATGGCTACATTGTTTTAAACTGAAAAGAAGTTCACTTGGTGAAATTTATGCCCCGTGGCACAACCATCACTGCAGCTTTGTACTACATGACTCTTGAACATCTTCAAAGGGCAGTTCAGAACAAGAGAAGAGGAACGTTGTTGTCAGGTATTGTCTTGATATGCTACAAGTGAACAAGGATCCTCCTCCAGCATTTTGGATGGAAAATTTTTGATCACCCACCTTACAGTCCTGACTTGGCTCTCTCAGATTTTTATCTCTTTGCCCACATGAAATGCTGGCTAGGAGGAAAGCATTTTGCCACAGACAACAAGCTGCAGACCGTGTACAGAGTTAGCTGATAATACAGGCAGCTGCTTTCTATGATGAAAGTATTGGAAAATTGGTATCACGCTATGACAAATGTATGAATCGGAACAGCGATTACGTTGAAAAGTAGCTTAATGTTGTATAACATTGTTTCATATAAAATTTTCTTGATTTTCACTGTGATTTTCATTTAGCAAACAATCGGAATAAAAAATAAAAAAAAAAAAAAAACACCTAAAAATAACCATAAAAATTTAAATTATATCAAAAATTAAATTTTCATCCATGGGAAAGAAAAGTAAAACATGAAACAGGTACTAAATTTTACTGAAATATTTTAAAATTAAAATAACTGATTATTTAATTAAACACTTATTAAGCAGAAAGTTTAGTAAATTTTTTCCTTGATTTCGTTCCATTATTTTCAAGGTACCAATATTATTTAACACTTTTCATTCCATATATAATATAGCTGTACTGTTTAATCTTTCTTCTGACATTGCACTTCTTATATAATTTATTACTCTTTTTTAAAACAGAAAAAAATTTTTCTTCTGATGCAATGGGAACTGGAATGGTCAAAAAGAATTTTCAAAATAATTTCTACTTTAGGAAAAGTTGATGACATTTCTCGGGCAGCATGATATAATTCTGTGGCAGAACTAAATTTGTCTTCATATTCTTTTAAAAATAATAAAAACCATCATACCTCTCATCATCAAATTCTATAACACTTATATCATCTTTATAAATCTCTTTTAATCTCAATGAGCATTGTGCATGATCATGCATGTGTACCATGACTGTTGTATGTATTTTTTAATTACATTAATTACACCAACCTACAGAGGTTGGACAAAAATATGGAAACATCTTTAAAAAAACATGTTTCTTTGCTTAGTATGGTGTAGGAAACCCGTTGGCATCCAAAACAGCTTGCAGTCTTCTCGAAATGGATAAATACAGTTCCTGTATGTTTGCCAAGGGAATATTATACCATTCTTCCTGCAAAACGGTGGCAAGTTCAGATAACGATGTTGGCGGTGGATAACGAGAACGCACTTTCTGTTCCAATGTAGACCACAAAGGTTTGATAATATTCAGGTCTGGTGACTGTGGTGGCCAGGGGAGATGGGACAAACTCATCCTCGTGCTCAGAAAAACCAGTCCTGGACCAATGTGAGCTGTGTGAACAGGGGCTTTGTCGTCTTGGAAGACCCCATCACCATCGGGGAACAAAGTTTGTACCATGGGATGAACTTGATCGGCTAAAATGTTCACATAAGTCTTGGCAGTCATGTGCCCTGACACAGTTATCATGGGGCTAAGCAGAGAACCACGATATGGATGCCCAAACCATAACAGAACCCCCGCCATGTTTCACTCTTGGCAACAAGCAGTCTGTATTATAGGCTTGAAATGGCGTTCTCCAGACGTAAACTCGGCCAGAAGTGGGAAACAATGTGAAAAAAGACTCGTCAGACCATATTACTTATTACTTCTCGCTCCACTGCTCTATAGTCCAGGCTTTATGACTTAAACACCACCTTTTCCTGTTACAGGCATTAGCATCACTGATGAGTGGCTTCTCAATTGCAGCACGGCCAGCAATTCCCTGTTTTATGAAGCTCCCTTCTAATTGTTTTGGTACTCACAGGGTTCGGTAACACAACATTCATTTCAGCAGTAACTTTTGCAGCTGTGGGTCTTCTTATTTTTCGTCACAATTGCCCTTAATGATTGCCTGTCATGATCACTCAGGACACACTTTCCGTCCGCGCTGTGGTTTAGCAGATGATTTTTTTTTCCGCTTTTCAAATATGCGGAATAAATCTTCGATACAGTAACCTCTTGAAACACTAAACACCTCGGCTACCTTGCTTACGGAAGCACCTACCATACGTGCTCCACTCCAACAATTTGCCCACGTTCGAAGTCTGTTAACTCTGACATAATGCAATGACAACCTCACATAACAGTACTCCGACAACAACTGAACTGTTTAGCACATTTACGAAGTTGTATAGGTGGCGTCAGTAGTCAAAAACGCCAGCGCCACCTACATATTTCATTAAAATCAATCTTTCTTTTCAAACATGCACTTCACAAGGTGTTTCCATATTTTTGTCCATCCACTGTATGTTCATACAAAATTTCATTAAAAATCTCTCTGTCAGTTTTGAAGATAATCGATCAAATGTAGATTCTTTTAATTTTGAATACCAGTGAGTTTATGAAAATTTTCAAAGCTTACCAAAATATTATTATGATCTAAATTTGATTTTATAAGAGTATAATAATTATAGTTACATGTTGGATATATTCTTTTTTTATTATAATGTATGGTTATATATGTGTGTGTAAGATTAAAAAAATATGTAAATCAAAATCCTAACTGTAATTTGCAGTTATTCCTTAACACTCCATTTTAATTTGACTATTTACTTATTTACACTAAAAGTATTAACTACTTATAATAAATCTATTTAAAGTATGTAATTTCCAAATTAATCCATGTCATATGATCTTGTATAATGTTGATAATGCAGGTATGCTTTGGTCAATCATGATGATCTGATATAGAAACTAACACTGCAAATCATAACCTTCAAACTATCTCCCAGGTTTTCTTCCTTAATGTGTTACACACTTTTCCTTCTTTATTTGCTTCGAGCTAAGAAGTCATGACTTTCCTCTATTTCATCCATTGCATTTGTCTTAAGATGTAAAAATGATACAAAATTGTGATGAATGTGTACAGACTGTGCTGAGCCAGTCAGAGTATGTGTCTCAAGAAATAAATTGTATAGAATCTATGTCTATGTTTGACTGGAAATTTTAGTTATATTACTACACATCTATGATTCCATGATCATCTACTACCATTGGCCATAACTGAAATATATGGGTCCTTTCTCGTTTCCTAAATTATGTATATATACAACATAATATGAATGATTTGGAACTTGGTAGTGGCTTAATAGATGCTTGGCATCTTTATTTTTAGGCACATCAAAATCATTTCTTTATAGTCAATATACTTTTAATCATGAGCAATTACAATATTTTTTTTATAAAGCATAGCACCGCACAGATGTTTGCAGGAATGTCTTGCCAGGATAAAAGCATAAGCAAAAAGTAATGCATCAATTCAGAGGAAGAAGGGAAGGAGTCAAAAGTTTCAGTTCGAGTTTAAAAAGTTTTGGTTTATAGTTTGGTGATTAGTCAAGAGGTATTTGCATTAAGTGTTACGTAGAATCGCATGATTAATTTGAATGACGCAGTTTAGAGTTAAACACTATTTTTAGGATAGAGAGATGAAATCCCCAAATTAAATAAAAAATAAAAGAGGTTATAGCGAATTAAAATTAGAAGCTTGCTTTCATATTTTTTTAACTTATACATATATATAATTTCTCAACTATTATATGTTGGATGTTAATTTTTTATTATGTTAGTGGATCAATCATACAATAATTTCTTTAACTAATTTTTACTTCATGTGCAATTATTACTTCTGGGTAAGGTATAATTTAGAGACTAAATGCTTACGCTACCTCCTTAGCATCGCATTATAAAAAGATTTGTAGCAGATTAATATACTTTTGCCTAAAAGCTGCATTAATATTACAGTTGATATATTAAATACCAAATTATATTAATATTAGTTTTGAGTATATATTCGCACCACATACGACAGATTACAAAATACCTGCATAACAAGATTTATGCAACTCTCCCCTAAAATAAATTAAACATTTAAATATAAATTAATATTTCATTTCTGTTACCTTAAAGACAAGTTCTTCTTCTGTCCTTGCACTGTACATTAAGTGAACTCTCCCTGGCTTAACTGAATATTCATTTTGAAATTTGGTAGCACAAAGTAAGTCTCTGTATTCACATAATATTGATACTAAGGGGTTTATACCAACACCTCCTCCAACTAATAAGAGATCAGCTTCTGCTTCTTCTCTATTAGATAATGGATCATAAAAGAAATCACCACCAACTCTGATGTGAACTTCTTTCCCAGGACAGCACTAAAAATTATGTGAAACATTACTTTCATATCAGCAAAAAGCAGGAAGAAAATATCTTAGAAGTAATCAAACAAACAAATATAAAACATTAAAATACCAATAATAAAACACATTAAAGGAAAAAAAGAGTACAATGAACGTAAAATTTTACCCTCTTGCCCCCTCCAATAAATAAATAATAATAATTTACAAATTTTAGGAACACTTCAAAGAATTTACTCAACACATTTAAAAAATATTTTATAATAATAAAAATTTAAAATACTGCCACCATGAAAATGAAATTTCTGACTTCACTGACCACAGTCTAAGAATTAAAATCAATCAGAAAAATTCTAAAAAGTTAATTAGCTTTTTCAAAACTGCCGAAATTATTTCTTAGATTTTCCAATATAAATTTTGTCCGGCCTGCTTTTTAAAAATATATTGATTTTGCTTTATCATGAATAATGTGCATATAAATATCATCATATGCAATGAATTTTTATTGAACTATATATGATAAAATCTGAATTTAATTAATTAAAATATTTTCCTCTCATTAACTGAATTTGCTTTTTATTTTCAGCTAATCTGCTATCCCTTTGCTCAATTTACACACAATACAGTTACCTTCATGCTTCCACTGCTTTTGTTATGATCGTAATGAATTTTTTTTAAAAAAGGTTGATCCAGATAATAACGGTAATTATAGTTAACAATAAACTTGTTTAAATGACATATATCTTATTGCTATCGAGATTCAGTATATTTATGTATAGCTTGTGTTATAGACTAGAGGTGTCCAAACATCATCAAAATAGAGTACATGTTAAGATTCAGCAACCTTTTTCCCCCCCCTCCCCAAGAGCTACAACTAGATTTTTTCCTAAGAACTGCAATTGCATATTTACATCATTATTAAAATAATGGATAGATTTTTCATTAAAGGGAATGTTTGATGTAAATTCCAATGAATTTCAAAATTTTCATGTTGTTAATGCAGTTATATGTAAACAAACAAAAATTCTTATTCCTCCTGCTCAGTATTCATAAATGTTTATTCCTATGATTGTAGGGTGCAACTAAGAACTCATTCTCCAAACTTCAACGATCTTTTAATACTTTTATAATCTTAAAAATTATGACTAGTTTAAATTTCAAACAGAACTTGTCATTAATTTGTAGCAATCTGCCATGTTCATTTCAGATATGGAATTATTAATATATTTTGTTAAACAAGTTATAATTTTCAAAAGCAGATGGTAATTCTTGTGGTTTATTTTGATTTAAAACAAAAAATATAACAAGAAACATTATCTTTAAAACATCTCTACAAAACATTTGAGTGTCTGAATGATTATGCAAGTTACTGATTAACAATTTTCGAATATATTATTTTATCGCAAAGAATATTTTGATAATTATTTTTTAATAAGAATCTCTTAAAATGGAGAAAAAATAATATGGTAGGAAAAAATTTGGAGTCTATGTTTCTATATTTATTACAAAATCTATGCAAATAAATTTCAAAAATATCCAAAAAGATATGTGAGTCATTGCATTTCCTAAGGCTGGGGTCATCTGAATCTTCACATCCTGAGAATCTTCGAATCCTAATTTAAGAAATCACCGAATGTTTTAAATCAAAACTTTGGAAAGATTAGTTTTATTGATGCTGAACAGAAGTGTTCATCTCTATTATTAAATAATGAAGGATCTCTATGTATGTATGCTTTTTGCACTGTGGAAAAACAACTGAACCCAGAACCACCAAATTTTGAACACAAGTAGCTCTCCACTTAAACATGTACACCTCTTGAAGCCCAAGTTTTGAATTGCAAGCCTGAATTTTGAATTTTTTTATTTATTTACATTTTGTATGAATTTAATGAATTTTTTATTAACAAACTTAGTGATTTAAGAGGGAGCAGTGACATCACTATTTGAAATAATGCATTTTTATTTCCAGTGTGCCAAACTATAGCTATTCAACAAAATGTAAGATATTTATCCTTCAATTTTAATCCACAAAAGCTATTGAAAAGCAATGTATTGTCATTGTCTGAAATAAAATAGTTTTTTCTTCCAGGCATCAGCATGCTATCATTCAATATAACATAAGATATTTAATAATCAATGCTATTGAATAACAAATTAGGTGATTTAAAAGCAATGAATGGGGTTTTTAAGAATATTTTTTCCCTTTTTTAATCTGACTGATTTAAATAAAAATACATTTGAATCATGAGATATTTGATTGGAAACACTAAATAGTTTTATGAATTTACACTTGCTGGACTTACTAAAATACAGTCAAAAGTCTTTAATCCGACGTCCATAATCCAGAATGATCTATAATCTGGACCTCAAAGCTACAAACTTTCTGCGCATGCGAAAATGCATAATGCATCTACGCATGCGCGTAATACCTTTATGCTTGCGCATAATACGTTTACACATTCGCGTTCAATGTATAACGGAGGGTATAAGCTAAGCTAAAATTATCTAATTATCTATTTCAGTTAATGTTGCAGATTGCGTTGTTCCTTAATCTTCTAATTGGATCCGGCTTATTATTTTTTGCAGACCGTTAGAGCAATTTTATAAAAATTACGCTTGAACTTTCGATTATTTCAAAAAGTATTTCTAATTCTGGAGCTGCCAAAGGATCTACAAAGCGAAAGCATGTTTTGATGTCCCTCAAACAAAAAGTGGAATTGCTGCAAAAAATGGATAAAGGTACCTCCTTTGTTTCTCTAACCATTCCGAAATCTGTTTATCAATTTCACGTTGCTGTGCGGGGGGGGGGGGGTCGCAGCGCGCAATGAACTGGAAGTTGATCTGTCAGCATTATCCTTATCTTCAGGGCAGATGTTTTTATTTTATTCGGCTTATAATTCCTTACTAAATGTAGTATTTTATCTTGATGTACTTCGTCTTTGATATGATTTAAATCAAATTCCTCGTCATTATAAATATCACGAATACACATTAAATAGTTTTCTGGTTGCAATTTTCTAATTTCGACTATGCGTAATGTATGCTTTATGCATGGGCGCGTTGAAAGAAATGTTTATTAAAGTAAACAAATAAATATTAAGCTTTTTTTTTTTTTTGTAAATTTTGATACCTTTTAGATCATAATTGCTCTTTTTTTCATAAATTACGGTTTCATATTTTTAATTTTATAATTTCTGCATGCCATCTTGCCAGATTTAAATTGATGATCTATAATCCGGAAAAACTGATAATCTGGAAATGCCGAAGTCTCGATGAGGCTGGATTAACTCTTTCGCATCGAAGTCGCCCAAAGCGCCCTAGCATTCAGACATCGACTCGACGCCTGAATAATTTCCTACCCAGTGCTTTCCCCCATCACGTTACTGCATTACTCATTGCTTTCAGGTGTTGTTAAATCACACGTCAATCATTCTTTGTTGTCAATTTCCTTGTTTCCTTTGTTCCTTCCTTTCCTTTGCTTACTGTCAGTGTTTAGCTTTTGATGCCCGAAGTTGCAATCCCAGTGTCAAAGCGTCGAAGAAAGAAGTTCTCGCTTTACTTAAGTAAGGCTATTGTTAGCGTTGTAGTATTCAACTTGTCATGGGGAAGGAAAAGCATTCCAGGAGAAATTCTTAGATACGGGCGTTTTCGATGTTTGGGAAATTGAGATTTTGTCCTCTCTCGATGCGAAAGAGTTAAAGACTTTTGACTGTATAGTTTTTCTTTTCCGTAGTAACTATTCTAGCCGACTAGCCACGCAAGCTATTAGTTAAAAAAATCTAGTGTTCCAGTATCAGTGATATCAAAATCTCTAAGATCACCTCGTGATGAACCAGAGTCCCATTATTGTTTTAATGTGGCATCCAATAAAATCTCCCACAATTTTTGAGTAAATTGTGTGCTGCGCTTTCTAAAAAATTCTTGAATCATTTCGATAATTCTGGACATTAATAAGCCTACTACAAATAAATCTAAGCCGGTTTTAACAAGTCAATGTATGTGCATAAACACTGTGACCTAAAAGTTATGTACCATCTTCAGGCATGGCTGTTGAATTTTGAACTTATAATTGAACTCCGAGTTGCTATTCAAATTGTGTGCTCAAATGTATTTGTAGTGTGCTGTGAACTGTGTTGAGAAAATAAACCTTAAAATGAAAGAATTTCATTAGATGCTTTATTTACTAAATTTCATTTGCCGCATTTTAATAAATATAGGTGAATTAAAGAAAATGTATTTTAAAATTAAGCCCCCACTCTACCTTCACATTTTTTCATTAGCATTTTAAGGATTTGAGAATTCTGATATTTGAAAAATTAACAATTTTCCCAAGATTTTGTTACATCTAAACTCTGGAATCTCATTGCCATCTAGCAAACTTTAGAATAATCTTGAGAAAAAGGTAAATATAACTCTAATTAAATGAGAATCAGAATAGCTGTTTGAAGGAGAACGCATAATGTCAATGCAATGGAACATACCGTATTTGACGGCATATAAGACACACTTTTTTTCCTTAATTTGGTCTCAAAAAAGTTACCTGCGTCTCATACGTGAAGAACACAGGTTAACTTTCAATACTGAATGCTATTTTTAGCACGGATAAAGGTTTAGACACATATAACTTTTTCTACAACTGCCATAATTATTTTGCGCATGCGTGAAATATCTGTCGCCAAAAAGCACCAAAGCTTGAAGCTGATGTCGAAGTTCGAACAGGTTCGAACGTCTATGGAGCCTTTCCTTCTTTATATAGACTTTCTTTGACTCAGCCGACACTCGTGTTGGTATTGGAGCTACTCTATATAAATGTGTCGGTATCGGTGCTTAAAACTATTTGTTTTAAAAAGATACCCTGGAAAATATGACTACAGGAAACAAGAAATTAAGGTATACAATTCAGTATAAACTAGGTGTGTTAAACTATGCCAAAGTGCATGGAAACAGAGCAGCAGCAAAGCATTTCGGTCCACCACCTACCGAAAAAATATGATACATACTTGGCGACTGCAGGAAGA